AAAGCTGGAAGTGGCACTGTGGCTCAAGTGGTAGAGTGCTAGCCTTGAGCTGAAGAGCTGAGGGACAGTGCCCAGGCCCAGAGTTCAGGCCCCATGACCGGACCCAAAAAAAAAAAAGGAGCCAGGTGCTGGTGGCTGAGATCTGAGAATCATGGTGCAAAGCAAGAAAGTCCATAAGACTCTTTTCTCCAATTAACCACCAGAAAACCAGAAATAGTACTGTGGCTCAAATTGGTAGAGTGCTAGACTGGAACAAATAAGAGTTCAGGTCAAGCCCCAGGCCCCAAGTTCAAGCCCCACGATTAACAAAAAGAAAAAAGTGCCGGGCGCTGGTGGCTCACGCCTGTAATCCTAGCTACTCAGGAGGCTGAGATCTGAGGATCGCGGTTCAAAGCCAGCCCGGGCAGGAGAGACCGTGAGACTCCTATCTCCAATAAACCACCAGAAAACCGGAAGTGGCGCTGTAGCTCAAGTGGTAGAGCGCTTGCCTTGAGCTGAAGAGCTGAGGGACAGCGCCCAGGCCCAGAGTTCAGGCCCCACCACCGACAAAAAAAAAAAAAAGAAAAAAAAAGAAAAAAAGTAAAAAATAAAAAAAAAGGAGCTGGGAAGGTGGCTCAGTAGTAGAGCGCTTGCCTTGCATGCATGAGGCCCTGGGTTCGATTCCTCAGCACCATATAAGCAAAAAGAAAAAAGCCGGAAGTGGTGCTCAAGTGGTAGAGTGCTAGCCTTGAGCTGAAGAGCTGAGGGACAGTGCCCAGGCCCAGAGTTCAGGCCCCACAACCGGACCCAAAAATAAAAATAAATAAATAAATATTAAAAAGGGGGGGGGAACCTGATTACAGAGGACAAGGAAGCATGCAATCTGTGAATGAAAATGGCCTACTCCAGGGTGGAGCCTCTCACATCATGACAAATGTTTTCATCTAGCTTGTGTTTCTTTCAGGCTCAGTTCACCACTTTGTGCTGAGAAAGTGAAATAATACCTAGACAAATATTAGTGCAATGGGTAGACCTAATAAGAAATGTGTCCTGACCCGCAGGACTTCAGCCAGGGCAGTGAACCTAAGCGAGAAGGAATGAAGGGACAAGAGACACGAAGAAGGACAGCAAGACAAGGATTCTGATCAAGCTGCCAATTTTTATTTTTCACACAAGGGTATTTATATGCTTGGACTTAGGGCATGGTGCAAAGGTGGTTGTTAGTAGATTTAGGGCGGGGGTGAAAAGGTGGTCTTTAGTAGCTGCAGGGTGTTTACTTTAAGGCGTGGTGAAAAGGTGGGATTCTGTAAACTCAGGCTCAGGTTGTTCCAGTGAGATAGTTAAGCCTATCAAGTTTGAGAGACTTAACTTTTGGCTCCCAACAGAAATGATGGTCCTAGGACTTGATCTCAGAGCCTGGGTGCTGTCCCTAAGCTTCTTTTGCTCAAGGCTAGCACTCTACCACTTGAGCCACAGCACCACTTCTGGCTTTTTGATGACTAATTGGAGAGAAGAGTCACAGACTTTCCTGCCCGGGCTGGCTTTGAACTTCAATACTCAGATCTCAGCCTCCTAAGTAGCTAGGATTACAGACATGAGCGTGCCTCTGGTGTGTGTGTGTGTGTGTGTGTGTGTGTGTGTGTGTGTGTGTGTGTGTGTGTGTGTGTATGTGAATATCCAATTTGTTAGTAAGTGACCACCAGGAGAGATGTTTCATTTCTGAATGTTCTTTGGCAAAAAAAAGTGGGTCAAGGCTGTGTGGTTGTGGCAAGAAGGCTTCCCAATACCTCTGAGAGACCCCTCCTCTGGTTATTCCCATATTCAAGGTGGGATTCCAATGTCTGTATTTCCTTTTCCTCTGAGCCTCAAGTTCTTCACCCACGAAACGAGTGCAAATAGGTATAAATACATTAGTTACCATCTCTGCAACAGTCCTTTGTGTGAAGACCAGTGCTGAATGATTTACATGTATTCTTATGTTTTAGTCACATAAACGTAGGGTGTAACTTCAGTTATTACCCAGAAGTTATTAAGCCAGAAGTGGAGCTATAGTTCAAGTAATAGAATGTTAGCCTGGAGTGGAAAAAGCTACGGGACAGTGTGCAGGTCCTAAGCTCAAGCCCCAATATTGAGGGGTGGGAGAGGGAGGGAGGAGGGAGTAAGGAGAGACGAGCCTAGAGGTGAAAGAATGAACAAATGAATAAAGGCATGCCTGGAATAGGTGCATTCTCACTTATGGCCACCAGATGGCAGCAAAGCCAGGCAGAATCGTCAGCCGTAGTTTAAATGAAAATTTATTCCAGAGAATTTTTTTTTGGCGGGGGGGGGGGGGGGGGGGGGGGGGGGGGGGGGGGGGGGGGGGGGGGGGGGGACAGTTAGCCAGAAGTTTGCATCATTATCCTAAGAATTTGAGTAAGTCTTATGTGATAAATGATTTGCAATAATTAGGTGAATTCTCATCATAACCCTATGAGATTTTTTTCTTTTTTTTTTCTTTTTCTTTTTTTTAAGATCTGAGACCTGGACTTGATACCTTGCTTATAGGCTGGCACTCTACTAACTGAGCCATGCCTCCAGATCCAATATTTGTCATTTCTAATTTACAAAGGAGGACACTGAGACAGGGTTGTCACTTCCCAGTAACAGAAGAATGTGACATGAGTTAAGTTAAACACCTGGCATGACTGTTTCCAAAACTTTTCTATGCTGATGTAATGAGATGTGTGCACACACACATTGCTATGTTGTTTGTATTGAGTTGGTTCATGTGTGTGTGCATGCACCTCCAGAGACCACTCCCATTGATATTAGTGTTTTGAAAGTTCTGATCATATTACTCTGGAAGTGTGTTTTTTTAACCTTCCTGTGATGCTCAGAAACACTAGCATGAGATCATTTTTTTGCATCTATATAATATTCCCCAACATGGTTAAACTACAAAATACCTAGTTAATCAATATTTTGTGTATAACTATTTGAATTACTTTCAATCCTGTGCTTTTACCAAAATAGGAAAAAAAAAAATGCTTCCAAAGACTGGAATTGGCTTAAGTGGTAGAATGCCTGCTTAGTCAGTACAAGACCCTGAAATCAATCACAGAGCCACCAAAAATGCTTACAAAATATCCATGAACACATGGATGTTAGCCTTTCTTCTTTCTTTCTTTCAAGTCCTGGGGCTTGAACTCAGGGCCCAGGTACTGTCCCTGAGCTTCTTTTGCTGAAGGCTAGCACTCTACCACTTGAGCAACAGCACCATTTCTGGCTTTTTCTGTTTATGTGGTACTGAGGAGTTGAACCCAGGGCTTCATGCATGCTAGGCAAGCATCCTACCACTAAGCCACATTCCCAGCCCTATTTTAGGCTTTCTATTAGTGAAGTTCCCTTAGTTGTGGAGTTACCTGTGGTTTTATAATAAAGAAGCTGAACCAGGGGCTGGTAGTGCATGGCTGCAATCATAGCTACTCAGGAGGCTGAGAGCTGAGGATCTCTGTTCAATGACAGCCCAGGAAGTTAAGTCCATGACACTTATTTCCAATTAATGGCAAAATGCCAAAAAAAGGAACTGTGGCTCAAATGGTAGAGCTCTAGCCTTGAGCAAAAAAGCTAAGGGGCAGAGTTCAGGCCCTGGGTTCAAACCCTAGTACTGGCACACAAAAAAGAGAGAAAGGGGAAAAAACAGAAGGAAAAAGAAAAAAGGAATGGAGGGAGGGAAGGAGGGAGAGAGGGAGGGACTGAAGAAGGAAAGGAAGGAAGAAAGAAGGAAATCAGCTGCTTGTGGATCATACATGTAATCGTAGCTACTCAGGAGGCTGAGAGTTGAGGATTACAATTCAAAGCCAGGCTGGGCAGGAAAGCCTGTAAAATTCTTATCTCCAATTAACTCCAATTAGTCACCAAAAAGCCAGAAGCAGAGCAGTAGCTCAAGTAGTGGAGCACTAGCTTTATGCAAAAGAAGCTCAGGGACAGTGCCCAGGCCCCGAGTTCAAGCTTCAGGACTGGCATCAAAGGAAAGAAAGATAGAAAGAGAAAGAAGGAGAGGACGGGAGGAAGGAAAGAAGTTATTTGATAACACTAATAGTAAAGCTAGCTACCTTCAAATGAACAAGAGCTTAACACTTGCTCACAGGCGAGCAGTCAGGATCCAAAGAGCCACTGGGGACAGATAAGAAATGACAGCAGATTCCTTTGAGGCCAACACAGCAGCTGAGGGCTCTGTGTGCGTCTGAGGTTCCAGTACTGAAAAGCCAGCATTGTAACAGACTCCAATGACACCTCCCGCCATCACACCCAGACTAGAAGCCCCAAAATGATTCTCATGGTTCCATTACCTGAGGATGAGTGGGGCAGGGTGAGGAACAGTGTCGATGAGGGAAAGGGAGCCAAGCGTGGGAAACAATTGCAAGGAAAGTCGAAGAGGATGTAGAATATAGAAATCCCTAGAAATAATAGAAGGTCCCCACATTGGGTCCTTTCCACCCACCTGACACTGTGTCATGAATGCATAAGCCCATCCATTGCTCTCTGCCCTTTTTTACAGATAGGGAAACTGAGGCAGTACAAGAATGTCATGGTCTAAAACAAACTATGGAAGCCAGGCACTAGTGGCTCACACCTATAATCCTTACTCAGGAAGCTAAGGCCTAAGGAACATGGTTCACAGTTATCTGGGCAAGAAAGTCCCTGAGACTCTTGAATCCAATTAATTGCCCAAAAAAAGCCAGAAGTGAAGCTGTGGTTCAAGTGGTTCAAGTGGTTCAAGAAGCTCAGGGACAGTACCCAGGCTCTGAGTTCAAGACCTACAACCCACACACAAAACAAAACAGAAAACAATGTAACTGGGTACCAGTACCTCACACCTGTAATCCTAGCTTACTCCAGAGGCAGAAATCTGAGGATCACAGTTTGAAGCCAGCCCAAGAGAAGAAAATTCCTCGAGTTTATTTCCAATGAACCAGCAGAAAATCACAAGTGGAAATATGGTTTAAAGGGTAGAATGCCACTCTTCCTTTTCGGGTTCCAGGCATCTCGGCTCCCGCCGGGTAGCGGGTCAGACATGGCTAAATCCAAGAACCACACCACACACAACCAGTCGCGGAAATGGCACAGAAATGGTATCAAGAAACCCAGATCCCAAAGATACGAATCTCTGAAGGGGGTGGACCCCAAGTTCCTGAGGAATATGCGTTTTGCCAAGAAGCACAACAAGAAGGGCTTTAAGAAGATGCAGGTGAACAATGCCAAGGCCTTGAGCGCGCGGGCCGAGACCATCAAGACCCTGGTAAAACCCAAAGCAGTGAGCAACAAACGCAAGCTCCAGCGGCTCACCTATATCGCCCACCCCAAGCTGGGCAAGCGCTTTCAGGCCTACATTGCCAAGGGGCGCAGGCTCACCACCCTAGAGGTCAGGGTGCAGGCCCAGGCCCAGGCCCAGGCTCAGGCTAAGGCCAAGGCCAAGGCACAAGCCAAGACCCAGGCTTCAGTCACTACTCCAGCTCAGGCCCAGGCTGCAGCTCCTAAGGGTGCCCAGGCTCCAGCCTCCAAACGTGCCCAGGGCCCTGAGAAGGCCCCACAATGAAGACCTCTTATTTGTTTTTGTTTTGGGGCCAGGTCGTGGGGCCTGAACTCTGGGCCTGGGCGCTGTCCCTCAGCTCTTCAGCTCAAGGCAAGCGCTCTACCACTTGAGCCACAGCACCACTTCTGGCTTTTTTTCTTTTTGCTTATGTGGTGCTGAGGAATCAAACCCAGGGCCTCAGGAATGCAAGGCAAGCACTCTACCACTGAGCCAACTTCCCAGCCCCAAGAAGACCAGTCTGCCAGCATGAGGATGGATGGACTACTGTGGCTCCCTGGCCGCCATCTTCAGGGTGGGCCGGTGGCCTCCACTGTTTCTACCAATAAACCTGAGACAGGATCTGGTTAAAAAAAAAGGGGTGGGTGGTAGAATGCCAATCTTGAATGGAAAAACCTAAGCAAGAGCATAATGCCTGAGCTCAAGCCCTAGTACCAGCACCCACCTTCCCCCCCCCCAAAAAAAAAGGATAGTAGAGCAGAATGGGGAGAGGGTGGAGGAAGGAAACCAGGACTACAGGGTGCTCCTAACCTACAGATAATGAGGAGCAGAAAGCCCCTAGGAGAAGCCCAAAGGTGTTTGGTGGGGTCCAGCAGTAGAGCTGACCAGAGATTTAACCAGTGAGATCTAGAAGAGTGATGTTCTCATTCACACACTCCAGGGGTAGTGGCCCCGTTTCCCCCCCCTCCCCCCACCCCCCCTCATACTTTATCTGCCTGCTGGAGACACAGCTGGTCACGCTCAGCAACTCAGGCCTCCATAGCAGACAGCTTCTGGACTTTAGACACGTAAACAAGCCTTGACTTGGCCTGAGGTGGACCTGTCCTGCCCTGCCTGGGAAACACGATGGGGAGGGTCTTGCAGACCTGTGTGTGCTTCAGCAGGCATGTATGCAGTTGGTGCTCAAGGTCAGGGAGCAGAAACTAGCCTCTGCCAAGACACTTGTAGTTAGGTAGGGGACTGAGGATGTCTGATCCACCCATCCTACTGTCTGTCTGCCTGTTTGTCCACTGGAGCTTCTTAGGGATGATATCCTTCCTATAAGAGGACTAGGTTGGGCCGGGCTCTGGTGGTTCACTCCTGTAAAACTAGCTACTCAGGAGGCTAAAATCAGAAGATCGTGGTTCGAAACCAGCCTAGACAGGAAAGTCTATCAGATGCTTTAACCACCAGAAAAGCCAGAAGTAGAGCTGTGGGGAAAGTAGAAAAGCATTAGCATTGAGCAAAAAAGCTCAGAGACAGGCCCTGAGTTCAAGCGTGAGGACCAGCCCTAAATAAAAAAATAAAAGAGTAGGTTGAAATCAGTAAATGCAATATGAACTTAGGACCAGAGAGGGACATATGGTGGGCACAGAGCACACAGCCAAGGCCAACAAGCAGAGACTGTGATCTTCAGAGGTCTCTGTGTCCAGGTCTGCAATGGCCCCAACTACATGGCCTTCCTGCCACAGACACTGTCTACTATGCTTCTGGAAGTTTCCCACCCACTCTGCTGGAAGCTTCTTATCTTGGGTGGCCAAGGCGGCTGCTGACTGCTAGGAAAGCCCTTACCCTCCCTGGAAGGGGAACCAGATCAAGGAACCTCAGAGCCTGCTAGAGCCTGATAGAGATTGCTGATTTGGGGGGCCTTTATCAGCTGGGCTAGGGGCTCTTGCCAGGCACCCAGCCCTGTGGGGTAAGGGAGCAGGGAGAGTTGGGTCCTAGGTCCTGAGTGGAGAAGATATAGCACACAACCTTTTCTGGCTTGTTTTGGGGGTTTTTGTCAGTCCTGAGGTTTGAACTCAGGGCCTGGGCACTGTCCTGGTGTGACTTTGAGTGACAGCTCTACTTCTAGTTCTGGGTTTTTTTATGATTCTTTTTTTTTTTTTTTTGTCGGTCATGGGGCTTGAACTCTGGGCCTGAGTGCTGTCCCTCAGCTCTTCAGCTCAAGGCTAGCGCTCTACCACTTGAGCCACAGCGCCACTTCCAGCTTTTTTCTTTTTGCTTATGTGGTGCTGGGGAATCGAACCCAGGGCCTCATGCATTGCAAGGCAAGCGCTCTACCACTGAGCCACCTTCCCAGCCCCTCTGGGTTTTTTTAAACTGGTTAATTGGAGATAAGAGTCTCATGGACTTTCCTGCCCAGGTTAGCTTTGAACCATGATCCTCAGATCGCAGCCTCCTGTGTAGCTAGGATTATGGGCATGAACTACCAGTGTCCCACATGGTTTGTTTGTTTGTTTGGTTCTCTGTTTTTGTTCGGTGCTGGTCCTTGGCATTGTCTTTAGCTAAGTTTTTTTTTTTTGTTTTTTTGTTTTTTTGCTCAAGGCTGGTATGGTGCTCTACCATTTGAGCCACACCTCCACTTCTGGTTTTATTTCCCAAGCTAGTTTTAAACTGCAATCTTCAGACCTCAGGCTCCTTAAGTAGTTAGGATTATAGATGTGAGCTATAGGCACCCAGCCCTCTTCTGGTTTTACATCTGTCCATTCCCTTCAGTATACGTGCATGGCTTTCTCTGAATGCAGTGTTTACTCAGGCTGGTACAAGCATTTGGAACTGAGCAGGACAAACAGTAGGGAAAGGGAAAGCACCTCTGAATCCCTTTCCTGGCAGAAGAATGTCCAGGCCAGTTTGGGACCTTAGCTCTGGAATTTTAGTTTCTACACCTAACCTAGTCTTTTTTTTTTTTTTTTTTTTGCCAGTCCTGGGGCTTGAACTCAGGGCCTGGACACTGTCCGTGAGCTGCTTTTGCTCAAGACTCTACCACTTGAGCCCCAGTGCCATTTCCATCTTTTTCTGTTTATGTGGTACTTTGGAATCAAACCCAGGGCTTCATAAATGCTAGACAAGCACTCTAACACCAAGCCACATTCCCAGCCCATAGTCAAATATTTAATGAAGTGGATCATAGCATGCAGAACAGTGTGGTTACTCAGAGCAAGTCCCAGTCACAGATTTCTTCATTGCATACCAGTCACAACTTAATCCTCCTGATCCTCAGTTTTCTCAGCTCTGAAAACTCACATGTGATGCAAAGGTTCACACCTGCAATCTTAGCTACGGAGAAGGTTGAGATCCAAAGATGATAGTTCGAAGCCAGGCTAGACAGGAAAGTCTGTGAGACGCATATCTCCAATTAACCACAACAAGCAGGAAGTAAGGCTGTGGCTCAAAGTGGTAGAGGGCTAGCCTTGAGCATAAAGGTTCAGGGACAGTGCCAAGACACTGAGTTCAACCTAGAATGAGCTGTAGCTCCAAGTAATAGAACACCAATCTTGAAAGGGAAAAAAAAAATCTTAGTGACAGTGCCCAGGCCCTGAGTTCAGGCCCCAGTACAGAGAGAGAGAGAGACAGAGAGAGAGGAGGTACCTCCCTGCCAAAAAGCAAAACAAAAACTAAACCTGGCACTAATTCCACATTAGTGCTTAGAGAGGTACCCCCTCCTCTTGACAAATTGAGAGCTTTTCCTGGGAGGGAAGAGGGAAATGCATTTTTTTTTTTGGTCCAGTCGTGGGGCCTGAACTCTGGGCCTGGGCGCTGTCCCTCAGCTCTTCAGCTCAAGGCTAGCACTCTACCACTTGAGCCACAGTGCCACTTCAGGCTTTTTTCTTTTTGCTTATGTGGTGCTGAGGAATCGAACCCATGGCCTCATGCATACAAGGCAAATGCTCTACCACTGAGCCACCTTCTCAGTCCCTGCATTTGTTTTTTTTAATTTTGATTTATTTTTGTGCTAGTAGTGGGGCTTGAACTCAGGGACTCATACTCACTTGGCTCCTCCTCTCTTGCTCAAGATTGGCACTCTACCACTGAGCCATAGCCTCACTTCCCATTTTTTGTGGTTAATTGGAGGTTAAGAGTCTTTCAGACGTTCCTGCCAAGGCTGGCTTATGAACCATGATCCTCAGATATCAGCCTCCTGAGTAGCTAGGAAAAAAGACCATGAACTACCAGTTCCCAACCATCATTTGCTTTTCTAATTAACTATTGGAGTGTAATTTGCATGCAATAAAACATACCCATTTTAAGAGTACATTTTAATGAATTTCCAAAAAAAACGTATGCAGTTATGGAACCCAGGAGCTCTTATACTCCATACTCCATATAGAGAGAGAAAGAGAAAGAAAGCAGTAAGCTGTTGAGGTATCTTCTATCCTGGGATCCTCTTTCCCCCTCTCCCTCCCCAGACATTCTCCTTCTTCTATTCATTGCTACTACTCTCATCGCTGACATAATCATCAAGAACATGCAAGATTTTAACTTTTTACTTTTTGTGACAGTCCTAAGGCTTGAACTCAGGGTACTGTCCCTGAGTTTTTTTGCTCAAAGCTAGCATTCTACCACTTGAGCCATAGTGCCATTACAGTTTTTTGGTGGTTAATTAGTGATGAGACTCTCACACACTTTCCTGCCTGGACTGGCTTTGAGTCACGATCCTCAGATCTCAGCCTCCTGAGTAGCTAGGATTACAGGCATGAGCCACCAGTGCCCAGTTCCCTGAGTTTCTTTGCTCAAAGTCAGTGTCCTACCACTTGGGCAGAAGCTGTACCACAGGAGCCATGCTCCAGACCCTGGGGGAGATATTTTTTCTGAAGAACCTCTCTTGCTGGGCACTGGTGGCTCATGTCTGTAATCCTAGCTACTTAGGAGACTGAGATATGAGGATCATGGTTCAAACTCAGCCGAAAGGAAAGTCCGAGATACACTTTAAAAATGTTTTTTATTGTAAAGATGCTGTACAGAGGAGTTAGTTACATGAGTAAGGCAATGAGTACATTTCTTGTCAAGCATTGTTACCCCTTCCCTTATTGTTCTCCTACTATCCTTCCCCTCCCCCACTCCCCTTACTCCTCCCACCCCCCCCAACCCCCGAAGTTGTAAAGTTCATTTCCAATATACTGTCTTGTGGTATCATTGTTGCAATGGGTCATCCTGTGTCCTTGTTTCAGCATTTTGTTATTCCCCTTCCCCTCTCCAAATTGGACAAATGGCTCCTGTGGTAGAACTTCTGCTTTGCAACCTCA